ACCGAAAAACACATTGGTTCATTAGAGTTAGTATAGTAAATAGTTGAAAGTAATTAATATTATATTACATATGCTATATGCATAACATTACAACGCGTGTCACCTGTATAATGTATTCCATACATTATTTTCAATTTTTATTATATTATGTACGAATGCGTTAATAATATAATCATACAATTTGAAAACTTGAACATCTTGAACATACATATAATAATAATAATAATAATAATAATAGTGATATGTAATAACATATTATAATATTATTATGCCAAGTAGTTAATTGTGATTTACGATGCGGTTGTCATCGTCGTAGTCGACAGTAGCAGCAACGAATGACAAAAGTATATTTTTTTGGTTTTTTTATGTGGATTCTCGACCACACTAGAAAAAAAAAACTGTTCCTTTAATAATTATATTCCTGACCTTCGTCATAGTGTGTTTTCAACGCATGACTATCATATATTATAGTAGTTGGTATTCAACGATTTAATGATTTTAAAACTACCGCCCGTGATGTGTTCTTTTTTTCGTCGTCTTCTATGGCAATTAAAATCGCGTTAATTAGATATAATATTACATTTACACCGATTCGCGCACTACACTCAGAATACAATATACTTTTACCAAGTTTTTATTCCATGAACTAAAAAAAATTAAAGTATCACGTGTTTTTAATTGTTTTTTTTATACAATCGTATATTTTATGCTTTTTGTAAATTTTATTTACAAATCATTATGTATAGTCATATTATTAGTATGTCATATTTATACAGAAATTCTATATACATTTTTCTTCTATTAAAATTATAACTAGTATGAATATTATTTATATTTTTAAACCGTTTGAAAGTATAATAACAGATAGAATAAAGAAATTACATTTCACGTAAATTTGATATAAATAAGAAAATATTTTTTAGCATGTTCTATATTTCTACCAAAATATTATACTAATACTATTCCAGCTTATCTTAGCTCTTACAATTAAAATTCAAAACTTCTAACAATGACATGTCAAATGATTCTAATAATAATAATAATCTGTAATAAACTAAAAAAATATAAAACAAAATTAGTATAATATAGGTTATATTACTATAGGTACGCAAACATTTAAAACTGTTATGAGTCATGACTTATGACTAATACAAAAACAAGATTATTATTTCTTACTAAATAAAATTCAATACTTGTAAATATACATCATTATAAATAGGATAAAATTTATTTATTTTACGAGTGAATAATTTGATTTATTCAAATATTGTTTTTATAATTTTTATGTGGATCTAATTAGCTCTTATTAAAAAATATGACTGAATATATCGGTTTATTAATTAGAGGGAATCTGAAAAGAGTGAAACATTGAAATACAAATAAAACAAATTATATTCAAATTACAAAACAGAGCGTTTTTAATTTTCGGCGAAAATGATTATTTGACATCGGTACTGTATACATTTACGAATTCCCTATACATCATATTAATAAACATATTAACTAATATTTTTGGCCGGATAAAAGTCAAAACAATATTAATATGCTTGTTTAATGATAACCGAAATATGGTTGTGTATTGTGACCTATCAAAGTTATTAGTTTTCCACGCAAATCAATAATGTCAAAAAAAAAAAATGTATAAAAAGAAGAATAACTTAAATATATAAACATTTCAATAACAATAAATTATAATATATAACCACGTATATAAATTATATTAAACAGATTATAGGCAAATATTTCATATATAATATTCAAAAAAAAAAAAAAATTATGACAAAATAATAGAATTAAAAATTATTATTTTCATCGTAAATCCAAAAAATAATAAAATATAGTGTTAAATAAAAGTTATTGTTGTTATGTTCGTTAAAATAAATTAGGTGCATCATATTTTCAAAAAAATTCATGGGGTTATTATTTCCATTTTTCACTTTCATATTGTTATAATATTTATTTTATTTTACTATATTAATATATGTATTTTAACTTCCATATTTCAGATATGATAAAACTAATTAATATGTTATTTGAATCAGAAAAATATACAAAATATTACATCATATTGTGAATTAAACGCAATTTTATTTTTAAAAAAATCTAAACTTTGTTTTTGAAATATTTACTTATTGAAACAAAATAATAAGTAACAAATAATATTCACAATATTTAATTAAAATTAAATTACGATTTTATCTTAAAAATTAAAACTATAACTAATAATATTGTTTATGCTAAGTATGATAATTGTTAATTAATAATAAATAATATTTATTGTAACATTGAAAACTCAAATGTTTCTAGTATTTATACATTAGAATTACGCCACTATATAGTCAGGTCATTGATTTTAATGAAATTTTTTACTCGTATATTTCTACACTTGTGAATAATTTGCTATAGATATTAAGTTATCATTCCGATAACCCTTGAAAACGAGACCAGAAAAATTATTGATAAACAATTGACAAGATTCACCTAATGGTGTTGTCGGGTTAAACAATCTCGTAATTTAAATGACTTAAATATTGATCGCAGCCGACAATATGATAATATATTTTCATTTTTATTATCGTTGAAACTCGGATATTTACTATGATATTATATTTTAAGGCGTCAGTGACATCGTCACATACATCTCTTTAGCTCTGCAGTCTAAATACGTAAATGTTACCAATCTATAATGGTAGACAACAGACGCCATTTGGTGATCCAACAGCGGAAAGATAATAATCGTCGACGAGCTTCGCATAACTCGCACGAGTAGCGGCACATGATATTGTACGTATTATACAATTATTATTATCATTAGTCGTTTAACGCTTTAGTAATGGTGCATTAAAGACGTTTATTTTTGGGTCGACCAAGTCGCTTGACGTATAGTATATTATTTTGTCGTGAACCATGCAATATAATCATCTCAGGGAACAAAATATTTTTATTTTTTCTATTTAAGCATTTAAGAACACAACATTAAACATTTTACTATTGTAAGTATCTATTTTTTAAATTAAAAGTTTGGTATGCTTCCCTGGTATATTGTCGGGTCCAGGATAAAACAATCATTCCGTGATACATATATATAGGTATACAATATACGCGTATACGCGGCGGCGGCAGCGATGCAGCAGCTATAGTGAGTTGATATTATAAATGTCCTAATCTAAATTAAACTCGTTTCGCTAGATGTATAATATTAGACTAAACACATAAAAAATAACTATCACTAAAAAAACTAAACATATTGTGCGCAGTGATATTGATGTAGTTGTAGTTACTGGGGGACAGTAGAAAAATCTATTAGTATATTTAGACACAACGGTCATTAATCATCAACTCTACCGGGCGTGGTTTTGAGAATTTTAAAATCAATTTAAAGAAACTATCGTTATGTATATCACTTGTACTTTCTTCATATTGTAATAAGAAAATACACGATGCAATTGGATGCATAATATGCAATATTATTGTATTATTATTGACGATTTTAAATAATAAAATCAAAGCTTATGCGCAAAAATATTTAGGTTTTTTTATTATCTAGAGAGATACCTGTTGCTCGGTCTCTTCGTGTATCTATTTTTGATTTTTTGAGGGAAGAATTATTATGTAAATTTTAAAATTAAGCTAGCAAATCACACAAATGACATAACAAAAATCGAAAATCAGTTGTTCTGCGCCTCTTTGTGCGACATACAGTCACTGGAGAAATCCTACTAGTGCAGAATCGGTGCATTCTCTTATTGGTCAGCAAAGTAAACGTCTACATTTAGATTATAATAAAATGGTTAGTAGTAAAAGCATATTATATTTAAGGGGATTTTATTTCTTTATGGCTCCGTTTGCTAATCCTCAATTCACTCATCATAACCGTAATATTTGTACTATTATTTCTCTTTTATTTTTGCTGTAGAAATAGTATTTTTATAAAATAAATATTTTAATATAAAAATAAATACATTAATACTACTTTTCCAAACGTAATATTGTATCTGAATAATTATTATAAATAAAATTAAATCAGCGAATGAATTATCTTTAATTTTTAATTTTGTTTTCTACTGTTATAACTTACACAGTTACATATATTTTAAGTGTATAACCTAACATAATAAAGCAATCACGAAAGAAAGTTTACAACCGTTTTTTTTCTATGTTGTACTTAAACATAATTTTGAATAAGCATTTGTTGATGAAACTATACGTAAAGTGGAATTTTATCAAGCATGTATAATTATAAATTGAGAATATTATTAAATTTATGTTTCAATTATGTATAATTTAATACTCAAAAACATTAATAAATTATAGTGATTCTAATTAAAAAATAAAAATGTATATTTAAATCTTATTATAAACAAATTTTTAATAGTGAGGAAAGGGGCTGTAAAAAAGTATAAAAGGAGACAAATTATTTTAAGTTTGAATTCGATGAAACAATTAATAATAATACAAGTAAGTACCTACATCAGTTTTTTTCGTGACGTGTAATTTTAAAAATGCACATATTATATATTTAGTTCCCCCTCTTATCTTTAATTAAGTCATAATTACGCTACTGTAGTCAACCACACGTTAACGCTTAAACAATATACCTCACACAAAATTCCTAGGAAAATGATAATTTCAGCAGAGTCGATTTTATGAACCCATTGAATAACCTAACCTAACCACATGAGCAAGGATCATGTGTATAAATATTGTTGAAATAGTTCGTAATTCAAGTATTATGTATAATTATTTGTATAATATCAAATATGTATACATAGTGACATGCGCACATTTAATACTAATACACTCTAAAATCATATAATTAAATTTTAAAAGATTTAAAATTCAAAACAATTAAACATTTTTCTACATAACTTACAACTTCATCATTATATCTTGATATTAATGCATTAATTTTAATAAATATAATATAATATAGGTAAATAGTATAATATAATAATTATAATATCTTAATTTTTTTAGATTCAGTAGTATAACACATAACATTATATTAACGTTAAGTTTATTATAAATTAAAGATGATGGTAAAGTATATAAATGCCACTAGATGAGTGAAACAGCATCGCCGTACTCGTAGGTATATTATAATAATTATTGTTATAGTAACATTAATAAATTATTATGTTTAGTAGTTGTAATAGCGGTAGAAATCTGACAATCTATAGTACTGCGGTTCCTCTTGATAGTGGTTTAGACCCTGAAAATAATTATTAAAACAGATATGATGACTTTATTATGATGTTTTTATCATACTTTGGATCCATGTTGAGCTCTCTGCTTGCGCTGAAACTCGTTATTTATATAGAAATCTTTCGGTGATGGGGCAAGTACAACAGGGCGCTCCTCCCAGACTTCTGTAACAATTAATCGTACAATGTTATTATTTTAAGTATAGAAATAATGATTTATAACAATCAATAGTATGCAACCTAAGAAATTACACTGGCTTTAATAACATATTATTATTATATTAATAAATTATTATGCATTATATAATAATATAAATAAGCGAGTAAAATTACGCGATGAGATATCAATGTATAGAAAAAGAGATAGGACAATTAATGGCTGCTGCTAATAATTCAAGCAAAAACATTGGTAACGCGTAACCTCGGTATTCCATTTAAGGAAAAAATCGTAATAACGCATTGAAAGTAAAAGTATGTGTGAATTATATGACAATATATAACTTTTTGAGCGAACGTTTAATACATTTATTACACCACAGGATAAAAAATGTTGTAAAATGTTGTGATATTTTATATGATTAAACACACTCACCTTGGATGTCATCTTCATCATCTTCATCTGGTATTTCATTATCTTCAAATGAAATTGCTTCATGTCCATAATTTTGACCATAATTTTGACCATAACTTTGACCATAACTTTGACCATAACTTTGTGGGGGACGTCTAAAAATATATACACTTTACATATTAGTAAATCAACGATTATTTTTGATTAATTAATATTATACTATAAAAATTATATTTTGTGATGACAAAAACAGCATTCACACTCTCCTCACTTTTGTCTCTTGTTCCTAACTAGAGATTGAGGCAAATCAATTTAATTTTTATTTAACATAAATATTTTCGTAATTTCTTAAGAATGTTGAACGTCATTTTTTAAGTTTTAGTTTTGTGTTAAATACTAAATCACGTTATATTATTTTATTGGGTATTGTTAAACTTATAATATCACTGAAGAGTTCTTAGTTACCTTGTACAAGGTCTTTGAACATAAAGCGTTATAGAATATATATTGTTGTTGAAAAAAAAAATTAAGAATTTCTGCAGGATATGGCCATGAAACACTTGCAGTGTATGTATCACACAATTCACAATAACCGTGTGCAGTTAACTATACGTTATATTTTCTACATAATTTACTATAATGTAAATCTTTTTAAGCATATATGTGTGAATTTTTCAAAGAAGGACGTCCCTTAATAATGTTGCAATTTTCTATTGTAGTTAAATTATATGACCACCCGGGGTCTGTCCTCGGTAATTCATAAGAGGCTCTATAATTTATATTGTATGGGCAAAATACAATTGTACGATTATGACGTATACAACTAAAACGTTCAACTCTTAGAATTTTAATTTGATATTAACAAAATAATGGTTTATTATTTATTGTGTCATTAATTATTATCAACTTATCATTACAACAACGTTTAAAACACAATACATTAAATGTAATAATAAAATAAAACTGTAATATTATTAAATAATAATAATATTAAAACTGATACATGAAAAACTTGCACCTATATTTTGTTTTAAAATCCAATCGAAATGTTAACGTTCAAGCTTAAATAGCATAAAATCGTCATTAAATTAAAATGAAGATCATTAAATAATATTATAGGTAATTTGTTTCCTATTATAATAATATTAATCATAACATATACGATATAAATATTACTTATATGCATGATAATAAATTTAAATAAATAATTATTATTAATTATTGATTACATGCCTGGATTTTTCTCGAGCCTTATTCGGTTCCAGGAGGGACATCAACACCATCAATTCTTCAGGGTCGAAAGGCAAGTCACGTTTGGCACGTCCGCTATCCAGATAAGAACCATATACTCTAGAACCACTTTTAACCATAATATTATGTAGGTATATTGTTACATCGTACATAAAAATTACTGTAGAGTCTTAATAATATCAAAACTTTCAATTAAAAAAATGGATGTGTTTTATCGGAAAATGTTTATGCTCTGGTATGAATAATGCGTTGTATAACAATTGGGTCTAATGCAATTTTCATGAATCCTCTCTCATTCCTGTTATATTGAATGCCTTATAAATATTAAATGGCGGCGTCCAATGCATAATTCAACTGTGTTATTAAGCTATTGCTATATATTTTGTTTCTTACCTCCTCTTAACCGGGGTGCCGAAATGGTAAGCGTTCCTTTTATAACGGTCATCAGCGTCTAGTGATTGAAGTCCGTAGGAATCTTAAACAATACAATTTACTCCATAAATATTTTAGTTTTATATATTAAACTTCATTAAAATGTAATATATTTCGAAATCGTAAAATATTTATTTATATTTGAATTGAAATAATGGGAAAACATAGAAATAATACATTTATCAAAATATCAATTTATTACGTATATTGTGCACCGTAGGAAATTTACTCGATTATTACTAACTAAACTATACAATGGTGAATAACTTTAATTAAAAACCAAACAAATAAAATATATCAAATTAAATAAATCTTTCCAAATTGACATTTATTGAATCTAAATCAAAAATTGTTTGTTTAATGGTTATTTCTTGGGAAACATTTTTTAAGTTATAACTTATTTATTCATTGAATTGTAAGGGAGAAATTATATTAGTTATACAATATATGTATGCATTATGCTTTTTTTTTATACACATTTTTGAATATGAATTTTACTTATATCCATTTTTATAATAATTTTGTAATGTATTTATTTTTTTACAAGTTCTAAAGTTCTTAGTAAGTAATAAGTATTATACATTATTTACTATGTATTTTTCATTGCATAGTAAGTGATAGACATTTGATTTAATCTATGTGAATTATAATCAGAAATATACTATATATTATACACATTTAAACCAAAGAACGAAAACAGTATACATTTTATATGATGTTAATTTGTATGATATATAATTTATAATCTTTGCTTGGATTTTTATTTAAAAATAATTTTAAAATAATAATTCACTCCTTCTATATCATACCAACTACAAAATTTATAACACTTGGCTATAAAATCATAATTCTTGCATCATATATCGTAACATTCAAGAGTATTTATAGGTTAAATTATAATACTATGTTAAGCATTGTATAGGTACTTATATTAAACTTTACTATCAACGATATGACCAGTGACCACGATATATCATCATATTGTTGAATTGTATTGTGTCACAGTTTTAAACATGAGGAGACAAACACTGTAATTAACTGTTATATTTTATATACAGCATATTTGGTAAAAATCAATGGTAGTTTTCGTTATTTAATTGAATATTTTTTTCAAATATAAAAGCTAAAATCAGTGGTTATACATTACTTAAAACTAAAGTTCGATGAAAATACTTTTAATTTATACAACATCATCGGGTAGTTAATCAATATAGTAATCAATTATTATAATATAGCCACGATTATAAGTTACAATAATATGATATGCTTATTAATTTATACATATAAAATCGCATGATAGACAAACATAAATATCTATAAATTGGTTTCAGAATTAAGACTTCCTGGATATACATCTTTTGTTGAAAACGACAGAAATAAAAACTATTTTGATTTAATTCGTTATGTTTAATGAGAAAATAATTTAAGAACATAACTATTATCTTTAATATTCTTAAAATATTATAAAATAGATAAATATAAGACTTATTTTGAAACTAAAGCAAAACAGCCTATAATATTTTTTAATTTTTCAAATAAAAAACAAGCAGAACAATATGAACAAACTATCAAGTTATAAGTACCTATTTTATAAAATTAAAATAAAATATATTTTTTCAATATTATTAATACAATTTGATACTATTGTCTATTATACAAACATATTAATGAGCCAAAAAAATTTATCATTTTGTAACACGGCGACTTGTATATGCAATTTTAATACGAAGAACCTGCTGAGCTAAAATCATCTCAAATAATTTGAAAACTATGATAACTTATCATTTATTAACATCTATAATAAAAAATATTAAGTGTTCAAATTACTCGACTAAAAATTAAATGTTTAATAAATAAATAATTTAAAAAAAAATTTGTTTTTGTATGTTATGTAATTAAATATTTAAGAATTATTTGTTATGTCAAAATTATATGGCATCTTTTTAAATAAAAATCAGTGATAATTAAATATTTTTAAATTATTAAACTTTTTTTTTAAATAATTTTTATCCCAAGGTAAATTAAATACATTTAAATTAGATTGTTCTTAATTGCAATATTATTTAAAATTGATTATATTTTAACATAATTATAATTAATGCTGTATTATAATATAATCTTAATTATTATGTGTCACAATATACGTAATTTTACAAATATAGTATCCACTCTTAAATTACGTTAACTAAAAATGTCATTAGTCTCTTATTAAACAACTTGTCGGCTGTTTACTAAATGGTTATAATTTAAATTTATTTATTTAATACTTCATACTCACTCAGTATTAAATTTTTATAAACTGTAGTTAACAATAAATATTTTATGTTTAAACTCAGAATAAAATAATATCGTAATATTAAAGGTCTAAATATCATATTAATCAAATCATAATAAAACATTAATTTTTTTATCAAAGAATTTAATACTGCAATCAGAAAATTTAAATTGATTCATAATATAACGTAGATATAAATGTATTTAATATCATTAAATTCAATTATATTCAATTGAAATTCGAATTTATGATGTATATTTAAAATAAACTTATATTTTTAAAGAAAATTACAAGATTTTTAAAATAAGATTCATGACACAAATGTGTATTAAATACAATATCAAACTAACTTAAAAAAAATAAAATATAATGATAATTGATAAACAATAACTATAATATCATTATAAATTTAAATTACAGTTTACAAAAAAAAGTTTCCGTAAATATTTGTTTTTCATTTTAAATATAAATTTCCCTTTATTACCATAGGTACTGTATTCGAGTAGATTATTTTCATTGAAACATAAAAACTTTTTAATAATTTGTTTGCTGCTGACAAATATGTTATGATGACCTTATCTTTTTATTTTCCATTATTCGAATCGATCATGCTGTTCAACATGCATGTCAACTGACTAAAATATCACTTTATTCTGTAACTCTAAAAGTTATTATATACATATTGATATATTTTAAAACGAATACATTTTAATAACTAAATACGTAAACGTATATTTCGTATTATAATTTATAAATATTCTAATAGAAAATTCTTCTTTAGATTACATAATATTGTTTTACAGTTAAAACTCTGAAGTAGTACAATATAGATAAGGTTGTTAGTTAGGGGAAAAATGTATACAATAAAAAAAAATATTTGTGATAACTCGTCTTAGAATGTTTTAGTTTTTTTAATTAATAGAATATCAGCACTAGGAGTGTTGATAAAATGTATTAACAACGTCGACCTACCCTGAACCCTGAACCAATACATTTTAGTGACAGAACATATTTTAGATGAACAGAATTGAATTTAAGGACATTAGTTCACCTTATCACTCTCAATTCTCTACCCAGTATATAATTTAATAATGTATAATATGACGATGAAAATTTATTTTGAAGAAATCCCAATAGTAAGGTATACTGTGAATAATTATCCTATTTTAAAACTGATAATGAATTAAAGTCAAAACCATGGGAAGTAGCATTTAAAAAAAAAATGTTTTATCAGTATTTAATGTATTGTTATTTTCCACAAGAAAAAAAAAAACTGAAAAAATTGTTATGTGACAAAAATATTATATTAATCAACTAAATTGGTAAACTCTTGCAATAATATAAAGTGCTTCTTTTGAATAACTTTTATTATGATTAAAAAAGTGTTAAAAAATAAATTGAATACACGGATTTTGAACAAAACTATCTAGACAAACTAATTAAATTAATGTTTAACACATCTAGGTATAAATTAATAATATTAGTATACATAAAAATTAGAATTGTATATTTTCGTAATATATAAAGTTAAAAAATTCATAATATTCTACTATTTAATATTAAATAAATTAGAAAATACAATTCTTTTTAAAAATATCATCTAAACAAACAATAATTTTATAAAATGTATTATTTATTAATATTTGCTAATGTAAACAAAGTATTCACAATTTTCTAAAATTTATTTTTTATGATCGTAAGTATTTGAAAATGTTTGTTTAAAAAAAAATAATAGTATATTATATTGTTATGAAAACGGTTCCCCTTGGAAATATTATTGGTTCAACCGCTCAACGAGTGGTCTACTAAAGTTTACGATTAACACATTTTATGGATAATGTTATTTATCAAGATTACGTGGCATTAGTATAACATTTTAATTTTTATATGTATTGTTTGTTATTGCGTTTTATTAACAATCATCTAAAATGTCTAAATATCTATAGTAGCGATAAAATTGCATCTAGTCATTTTTCACTTGAACAAAAATTACTAACCAATATTAATTGATTGAATCTATAGATTACTAATTATCATTGAACCTTAACGACGTTCTTATTTTATATATGCATAAAGGCCATTTTCTTTAACTCCATTATTAATACATGGTAAATATTGAGTATTGATTATATTTTAATATTTTCAAAAATACATTCAAAATTTAATTGGATAAAATAGTTTGTTATTCTCGACAAATAATTAAAAAAACATTATCATTGGCTTTAGTAAATTTATCGTTAATATTTTACACTTGGATGACTATAAAACTCTTACAAAATAATGATTAAAAACTTCAAAAAAATAATTAAATAGTCACTAGCGATTTTTGTTATTTAATGGAAAATTCATCTAAAACACAAATTATTTACATTTAAATTTTTTTAATTTAGTTATTTATAAAACACAATTGCTTTATTCTTAATATATGTAAATTTTTATATAAAATGCAAATTAATATATTTTTGATTTATTATATAGAAAAGTTCATACTATTTCATAAAATAATTTAATAATAGCGCATTTTTGTGTTTTAACTAAAATAATAGGATAAATTATAAAATCTAAAGTAAAAATATTTTCTGTCTCCTAAATAATTCCTTTTTATGAAGTTATTAAATTAAAATCTGTACAGTTTTTACTTGAATAAAACATGGTTTTAATTTTTAACATAGTATTGTGTACCAAGTACCTGACTTATTTGGCTAAACCTACATCTGTTTATTAAAATAAATATAAAAAATTAATTTTTAGTAGCAGATAAAACAATAATACTGAAGAAGTACATAAAATTCAATTATTTTTATGTATATACGACTTGAAAAAAGAAGAAAAATTATAGTTAGTAATTCTTATTAAAAATTCATCTCTGATAGATAATACAAAAACCAATAAACATTTTATGACTTATGTATATCACGACGTATATTGTATATCTTTATTCTATGCATATATAAATAAATAAAATGGCTTGGTGTGGCGCGTTGGCTGCTGCAAGTCGTGGAATGCGACTGGGAGTATAAGTAACGGCTACAGTTACTAGTTCCCGGATGGGTGACCACCCGGGCTCGTAGTGGTTAAAAACCACGTATACAGGTTTTTGCTATTAACCGTAACAACCATAACAATCGTAAAAACAACCTACCTTAACTAACCTTACCTCTACCCACAGTTCATAACCCTTAAAACAGCTAATAGCCCTAGTCACCAGCCTGAATTCAATAAAAAAAAAAAAAAAAATACAATACAATACAATACCATAACGTTGAATGAGAATGATTACTATGTATACTAAAATTTAAGTCCATATTTTTTTTCAAATAACCATATTATTTGTCTTGGCATTTAACGATATCATTAATGTTTTTATGCCACGATTGATTATTTTAGATTCTTGCTACTTTTTCTATTTTCATCAATTAAATATGATTAAATTTTCACAAGTTAGTTTTCTCGCACCAAGAGATTATTTAAATAATTTTAACAGCTATAATAAAATAAAATATATTAGATACTATTAAAAAACAGTAATATGAGTCTATTATGAATTATGAATTATGATTAATCTACATTTTAAAAATCAATACCTACAGTAAATATGTTATTCGTTTGACATTTGTTAGGGGTCTTAGCAAAAATGTATCATTTATTACGATTGAAACATGCGAAATTATATTTTAGACGCTCTATGTTTTGTATATACGATACAAGCGATATTAATATGATATCAACGACAGTGTTGAAGACTGTGGTGGTGATTATATTAATATTGATATTAATAATAAAATCGAATGAATTATATAGTACCTGGATTGTAAAAGAGGTCGGCGATTTTTTCGTGTCTGGCTGCCTGGGGATAGTGTTCAAGGGCGTTGTTCACTTCGGGCACCGGTTCTGGGTCGTGGTGATCATCAGGTGCTTCTGAAAAACAGAAGCAACAACGCATATACATGTATATATAAATATATTGCATAACCGCGTTAACAATCGATACTTCTAGCGGTACGACGCACGATTGCGTTGGGGTAGGTATATAAATAAACGTATTATTGTAATTATTATTTGTTGTGACTCACGTCTCTTTTCGGCTCTAGCGTAGTTTCTAGTGTCTGCCTGTCTGTTCTGCTGATTACCAAACTGGAGTACTTCTTGCGTCTTCTTTGCTATACACGACAAAAACAAATACATGTGCTCGTTTATTATCATCAACATTTACATAAAAACGCACATCGTGTAGTGACGCATTTAGGAATTTTTAAAAGAGGATTGTGTGATTGACATTTGTTGTTGTTTTGAAACGATAATAAAAAATAATTTTAATAGGATAATATTGTAAAACTGAAACTCAAAAAGGCTACAATAATATAATTATAGGCAAAACACGCGACACCAAAATCATATAGGTGGTCGTGTGCGTGCTCGGTTTCGAGAGATAGGGTGAAGGACGGTTCAGCTGGTGGTTATTAAAACTCACCTTTATTCTTGGCCATGTTTTTTTGGATTTTGGCCGCGTCCGCTTTACCGGGAGCGGGTAACCCATATACCATATGCGTGACAGCCATCACCGCAGCGATCGACAACATGAACGAAGTTAACAACTTCATGGCGTGACGTAAGTTCGACCGTGCTTGTTTACAGTGCAGTAACGCAGTATGCTTACTTCTCGGTGTGTAGACAGTTGCGTTCTGTCGGTGGTTTTGGCGGCGCGATGACAACACACACACACTACTGCTGGCGGCGTCAGTGGTGGCGGCGCGTTCCTAGACGGTGGTGGCGACGGTACCCGTGGACATTGCGGACGACGAAGAGGAGCTGTTTTTTTTTCAGGCTTCGAGGATATGGGAAGTAGGTGTTTTCCGCTCGATCGATATTTCCGAGTATGCGTCCCGGTGACTCCTCATACTCATCCACCCACGAGAAAACGCCCGGGCCGCCACCTGTCGCGCGCGCATGGGGTACTGCGATTTCATACCACCCACGCTCTCCTTCACCGAACCCTTGCCATCTCTCTCTACAACAACCACCATCATCAACTCCTCAACCATTACCACCCTATTGCGAAATTTATAGTCTCTCGCTACCTAACGGAACAACACAATTTATTTTGATCCGAAGTCAGGGGGACTTGGAAGTATAGACTTCCGTACAATAAATATTGGTAAAAGAGCTCCTTTAAAGTTCTCAAGAATAATGTTCATATAATATTTTCTTTAAAAGTAAAAAAAAGCGATAGTGTAAGTGCTCATCAACAGTCATCATTATCATTATTATAAAATAAATAAAATAGGGAGATATTGAGAGATGAACCATTGCATCGCGCTGTACTCACCAAGTTAGCGAAAATAATTGAAAACAAAAGTTATACGTATATTTCATAAAATTTAAGTAGTTTCAATGTTTAAACAAGTTCACCGTGTACAATTTTATTATTGTATTGTAGCCCAATCATGAACGTTTTGCGTGATGTATACATTATTATATTATTATCGCTTTAAACTATTATCATTATTACTTAGTATTTTATGATAGTACGTTAATAATAATTTTATAAGTATACTTTTACATAATATAATCGTCGATACACGATATAATATTAAATAAAAATATGTATTATTAAGGGTTTTTTTTGTTTGATGAACAGAGTTTTGAGTTATGACTTATGAATTATATTAATCCATATTTTTCATTTATAAATCGTAATTATATTAAATAGTATTGTACTACGTATAAATATAAATTGTATAAATAGTGACGATAAATTTAAAAGTGTGTATATGCGTTGCGAATATTACAGAAACTGTGCCATAACTATTTCCAACGAGGGAATATACAACATAACTTTATTTTTTTTATTAATGAATAATACTGTATATAATTCATGTTTGTTCAGCGATCAATTTTTGTAGATTCAATTATTCTTCATAATCATTCACCATTTACAATGAATCTTAAGAATAACAATTTTACTTAAAACCACCTTCTCAATTTATTTGAAATTAATAAGGTTCTATTTATATAAATAGATATATATAATCATTTGACTGCCACTTGATTATGCCCAGTTTACCTTTTTCACGACCCGATTAAACACAGATGCAATCAAACAGTAGAAATCCAAAAAATACTAAAATATACCTATATTATAAAAATATAATTACAAATTTCAAATGTTATTTTTATTTTTAATTAGTGCACATTTATAAAATACATTTATAATAATTTCGTATTAGTAAAGAAGTATAATTATAAGTTTGTTTTATATATATATATATATATATATACCTGTATATATTTATGTATATTACATTTGTTTAATTTACAAAATTACATGCTCTCTTCACACAAGAGCCAAGTTATGTTGTAACATGTAATATTATGAGCACATAAACAATCAAACTAAGTTTTATAGGTAGAAATGAAGACAATCAGCCGGAAGTGTACTAGACGCTTTCAAGGTCTTATGTAACACAGACTAATAATATTGATTTTCCCTTTCAATATATTCCCCGATTGTATTACTTTATACAATTACAATAGATAAAAGTATTGCATAGATACATGGAATTAAAATTATAATTTACTATATTTTTATACATCATACTATTATACAAAGAAAATAATATTATTTTGAAGTAAGAATATTTTTATAAACATTAAACTGTGTTAATAATAAGTATTAAGAATGATAACATTTTTTGAATTTTTCTTGATAAATTTTCAAAGACTTTTTTTAGATGAAACCGATCATAATTAATGACTTTCACGTCTGAGCAACACAAAATAGGAACATAAATATTATATAAACAGTGTACTGTGTAGGCATTAACTGTATAATAATCATTATGAATAAAGTTGGTGGATTTATGTTAAATATATTATACAAATTAAATAAGTATTTAAATAAGAGGTCTTTATTTCACTAGTAGTTAAATTTACAAATACAAGTGCAATTAAAATTTACATATGCAATCTCGTGAATTTATTTCAAGTGAATCCGTGAATTTCTCTATAAAGTCTCATTGAGACTTCAATAAATAATACAACAGTTCAAACAAAAAAAAGACAAAAATAAACTAGTTAAACAGTAGATGATGGGCTGATCAGTTTACACTGCTCATAGAATTTTCACATTGCTGTGCGTAGTATATATTTTTAATTTTTAATTTTTTATAGAAATTACATATTAACATATCTTTTTTAAATATTTTACTATAATTTAATATATTTAGTAAATATTATGTTTAAATACACGTGAAATAAATATCCGTGGTTTACTATTTAAGTATTTGTTAATTAAATTCGTGGATTTTTAAATTGAAATACACGTGATTACGCAAATCTAAATTCACATTCAATAATAATCCAAATACGTTTATCAAATTTAAACTTAAATTTTGATTTTAGAAAACCATGAATTTACTAAACATTTACTTAAATATAATGATATATTTAAAAAAAAAAGTTTTAAGCCATTTATACGCATACTTTTTGTACAATTGATTCCCAATAAATTGTCTGTATTAATAAACAAAATGATCTTTAATGAACAAGGTCTTTAAGAGGTCTATATATAGCAGTGGTTCCCAACCTGGGGGGCGCGCCTCCCTTGAAGGGCGTATACACATCGCTGGAGAGGCGCAAGCAGTCATCACAAAGTAAAATTTTTATTTATCAAATTTTATTATATTTAAAATTCCACTATAATACTATATTATTTACAATTATTTATATTTTATAATTACTATCATCAATAAAAAAGTAGTCTTTCCGAATATTATATAGTTCATTTGTAAAATGTAAAGTAAACAAAAAAAATTATAATTTATTCAATTTATAGGTGGGGGGGGGGGGGGAGATTTTTGAAAATATACAAATGGGGCGTAGAATAAATAAGGTTGGGAACCGCTGATATATAGGATCACGAAAGATTATGATTTATAACAGGGGTGTCCAACCCGCGGCCCATGGTATTGATGCGGCTCTCACTTAAATTTAAAAACTATTAATTAATTGTATATAATATATTAATATTACGAGAACAAATTTATCATAAGAATATAAAACTACATAATATTAAACATCAAATAAACTTTAATAGTGTTTAATACTTTTATCTTAGTAAATAGCACGGGCACACATTAATTATACGAGTGATTAGTGGATCAACTCGAGCTGATTTTGATAAAATATTTTATCGTTGGAGATATGTCCACGACATTGATCTCGTGTCATTTATCAATAAATAAAAATAAAACACTGTATGTATTAACTAATATTGTTAAAAACTATGCGGCCCGCAACAACTTCTACCCATATGATGTGGCCCAGATTTCACAAAAGGTTGGGCACCCTTGGTTTATAACATTATTTAATGTATGAGATATTAGAGAGTTTGTATGATTTTGGAGTTCGCTTAAATGATAAACTACAGTTACCCTTACATCATGAAATATTTTTATGATTTTGAATAATTGACATCTGACATCGTTTTAATGAGATTGAATACGTCCATTTTACCCATAACAGACATGATAAATTGTTCACAAAAGTTATATGACTGTATCATATAATAATTGTTTATTGATTCTTGACTGATTATTAATGAAAAATCAGATTATCTCTGTTTATATTTATTTTTTTGTTATAAGCAGCATAATGTTCAATCCCATTATCTTAATGTTTACAATTTAAAATTGTAAAAAAGTGTTATTATTAATATTGATAGTAAACGAAAATAAACTTGAAATTATAATGTTTAATCATGATTGTATTATACAAGTCCAAGTATTAATTAATTTTAATTCATACATATATAATAGCATATATTATTAAAACATTTAAACATACATATTACATATATGTATATGTATACACATATATACCTATATGTTCTCATTTTAAATAAATAGTATTTAAATGTACTGCAGTTAATTAATGATACATTGAGATTGAATATTTACATATTATCAAGTTATATATACTCCATCATTCTTAATTATAAAGGTATGTGTTTCATATTAGGTTTTATTTGAAAAATACATTATTGAATTCAATATAAAGTATTTGTCTTGTTATTAAAATGGTATTTGATAAGTTTTGATGTCCGAGACTACAACAACTTTTTAAAATAAGTTCATAATTATTTTTGATTATATAATCAAATATTCACACTAAATAATTATGTAAATTATTAATAGTATTTTAAATTTAAAAATATATTTGTTATTTTAAAAATATTATTGCTTACTCTTTAAAATAGTCACAAAGCTTTTGTGCGATTGTTACAATTAATAATTTTAATTTTGATAAGAGATAATGATATAAAATGTAAATATTCTTATTAAAATTTACAACAATAACTAATTATGAAAAGACAGAGTTGAGATGAAATTAAATTAATCATTGTAATCGCATGTTGGTGATGGGAGAAGTACAAATTGTTGACATTTTTTAAGTAAAAATTTTACTGAGTAATAAATTTAAAGCATTTCAGCATTTTACATTAAAAAAATATTTATTAATTGTTTATTTTTTATTAATAACATTTAATGTATTCACTTCAATATGACCCTACGGATAATCTCTACCGTGACAAACAACGTTGCTACATAGTCTCGCTTATAAATTATATTTAAAATAAGCAATAAACAATTTAAATATTTATTAAGTGTCACTAAAATAAATGAACAAACAATTAAAAGCATATTATACACTTTTTGTTTTATTTCAATTTTTTTTTTTTTTTTTTTGATCCAAAAATCCTAGATACGCCTCAGTTTCAATCGGTCACAATATGATGAGTACA